TCCATGAATATGTACCTTTGGACAAAATAGATTCTTCTGAAAATGGAGCAACCTAAATAAGTTTCAAAATTCATTTATGACACCGCATAAACAAGTCGATAAATACGATTATTATGTCATTTAGTAGACCATGAAAAACAACGTAGATCTGCAATATTGGTGTTCATATTAAGTTTACAAAAGAAAAAGTTATGATTACCATTATTATAATCCAAAACATCCAAGAGTGATAGACTTCTAAAACTATTTTTTTTTCATTTACCAAAAGGAAAATACATGCACAAACTTTTAAACTCATGGAAAGTGAAATCTAGGGGGGGGGGGGAGATTTAGGATCTTATCCGCCAGTATCCTTTCTCAGTAGTTTTCAAAATTACTAATATTTTAGATAGTATGATCTTCTTTTTTTGTTAATAAAATTCAGTGATATTAATATTAAATAAATATAAGAATTTCTGTATTTACCAAAGTTTCTTAGTACGCAGAACGAGCATTGCGGCATGTATACGACGTCGTCTGTCACTATATTCACATAAGCTTTTCTTCAATGAAGAGAGGACAACTTGCTCTTACTTCTTCTTCTGGCAAACAAAAGAAAAATAATTTATTTATTAAAATAAATACTTGTCGTTGAACTTGTCATGAAGATAAATCTAAATAGAGAAATATAATTTTATTTTTTTAAATAAATATGTGCTGTTGAAATCGATGTTGAAAGAAATCTTAAGAAAAAAGAAAAAATTAGTTTTTCGTCAATTGTCACTGACCATTGGATTTGATGCTATATTCAAAAGTAAATCTTAGTTGAAATGACTATGCCAACGCAGGACTGAGTTACGATCTTATAGTTTGATGTTATTCTTCTATTGGAGGTTTACGAGGAGTGGATATTATCATTGTTGAAGGAATATCAAGTTTGACATAGATTATATTAGATTGTTTTAATGTCGATGAAACAGTTTCGAAACTATTGATACATCTTAGGTTCTCGAAATAGCTAGAAAATTTACCGATATTCTTTTACTAACTTACGTTAAATAGTATTTTAATTCAGAATGTGATTAGTTACATTATTCTACATCACTAAAACATGTAACAAAAAATTTTAAAAAGGTGTAAATACAATATTATGCAGAGCACACAAAGGAATAGAAATCGTAATTAAAAAGCAGGATTAAAAGGATTACGATAGAAGACGTCATCTTAAAGAAGAAAGATAAATCTTCAACTTAATACCAATCTAAGTTTAAAGGACTCATCTAAAAACAAATTTATAACAGAAATATTTTGATGGACCAATTACTTGATTTGAAAACATATCTGAAATTATGCATATGATCAAAAACATGTTTTGAAATAAATGAATGGAAATGTGAAGTTTAGTTGGATTATTTTTTAATATTGTCCATTCTCATTAATGTCATAATAGTAACATGCATGCCGATACTAAATCTTTCTGATTATAGTTAAAAGATGTGTAGAAATTATACCTGACTCACGATTGCACAAATCTTGAAATATTTTCTCTAATTAAGTAACAATGTGTAATTATTTATTGAAATCAGTGATTAAATGTGATTTATTGCTTTCATATATGGACAATTTTCGAAAACTTATTCATTGTGCCATCATCATGATTTTACGCCAATTTGTTTCGAAAATCGCCGAAATTGCTACGATTTTCACAATATGGGATATGTATCAAATTAATATTGTATATCAGCTGATTTTATTGATAAAATTGTTTCGATTGGTAGCGATGGAGAACTTTCGAACTTACTGAAAAATGTATCATTTCGATTTATGGGTATTGATGGAATTGTATCGATTGAATTAACCATTGCAATGCTTTCAATTAATGGTCTTGGACTTTCAGATGTTTTTTTTTCAAATGCATGAAATCGTTTTATTGATATTGACAAAGTTTCAGCATTAGTTGAAATGTGAGAAATATGAGACTGAATTGGAATCATACTGAACTACTAAATAATTGAAATAATTTCATTTGTTGGAAACAAATTACTAAGAAAAAAAATTTACAATAGTTTACCGATTTCTTTCTTTTTGGTTTTCGATTATTTTCTTTTATGATAATTGAAAAGTATGTTCATTCAGTTGTGGTCATTATTCTTTAGTGTGACTATTAATTGTATTATTATTTTCTATATGGATTTTCGATGTGATGAGATAGTTCTTTATTTTGGAATATCGTATGAAAAAAATTTATATCTCGAACGGGTGGCCTACAGTAACTGTTGTTTCAGTTTTCGATTGATATCTGAAACATTTTTCATAGCTTACGCCGTATCTTTTTTTTTTATCAAAAGATTCATGATGTAATTCTGCACAACAGGATAAATTTTACTCGAAAACTACTGATCTCTTCATCTTTGAACAATAGCATGATTAAAAATCATCATTACACACAACATTCAAGCTCTTCGGATTCTTCTATTCTTTCTGAAAACACCTAATTCCTGAATTATTTTTTTTTGACATCGTTTTTACGTTTCTCAGCTTTTGTTTGTAACGTGTGTGCTACACGTGTTTTTTCCTTCTCCACGACATTGACAATAAATATTGAAAACTGACAAAATATGATTTTATTTCATATATTGAAAATAGAATGCAAATGAGTTTACGATTTTCCTAGACACCAGGCTTTAATAATGATTGTCATTTTATTTTGCTGTTCATCGATTAAACGTTCTTGTTCATGATATAATGTTTCAAAATGAACTTTTTCATTATAAGTCCGATGCGCACTTTCATTGAATGTTTCTTATGAAAATAAAATTCTTTTCATTTTTAAAAATAATAAAAAATAATTCAAATTTGTAAATGACTATTATTCTTCAGTTAAACACGCTTGTTGTTCTTGAAATACAGCAGCAAGACATTAATAATTATTCTAGGTTTTATTGTGATCTTCGTCTAGAGGGCTGCAGGGTGCAGGATTTTTATAACCTGTAACCTGCCCTGTAAATTTTTTGTAACCTGATCCTGCCCTGCCCTGTGAATATTTTTGCGGACCCTGCCCTAAAACTTTCTAAT